CGTCATCCTGGTGGAAATCAGGGAACACTCCAGACGGACAGAGAATCCCCTCGACGAAGAAATGAACGACGAGGCACACAGGGACGAACTCGACTTAGTCGAGGAAATCCGATCGGGGGCGGACCTACGCGAAGCCACCTTAAAACAACGAGTGGCTCTGCGCCACAACGAAAAGGTCATTAAACGCGAGTTCGAAATCGGCAGCCTGGTGCTACGAAGGAACCAGAAAGACGCCCGCGAAGGGAAATTGGCCGCGAACTGGGAAGGGCCTTACCGCGTCCACGACACCACTGGTACCGGGGCATATTACCTCGAGCAACTGGACGGAGAACCACTACCACGACCCTGGAACGCTGCTAAACTAAAGCAGTACTATAGTTAAAAACCCTTAACACCGAGGACCCTCGCCGTCGACACCCACGTCCGGTCAACGAGGAAAAACGTCTGACCCCGTAGAAAGGCCAAGGTACAGGTCCGACCTACGCCCAAACGGCTTAACGTCGTTCGACAGACGAGCATGAACAATAGTTCCCGACGTGGACACCTCAACCGAGCTCCACCGTCGAAGTACCTGTAGGGCAGAACACCCAGCTCGCGATGGGCAGTTCACGCCGCGGGTGAACAACCCTGATCCGGGTCATACACCCGAACAAGCGGCTTTGCTCCGCACGCCCGACGAATCTCGAAGAACGTCGGGCCATCCAAAAGGGTCGAAAAGGAATCTCCCCTCGAGGTCGTTACTTAGGCGAATTTCGCCACCGAATAGAAAGCCGAGCACAAGCATGACCCGAACAAAAGACTTAGGCAAATTTACCAACAAAGTCACAACCACACACGGGCAAGACTCGGGGCCATAACTTAGGCCAGTTTTATCGCAAAATATTAAAACATAAACACGGGCAAATAATCAAAAGTCGAAACAAACATTCATTTGAAAAGCCTGTAGGCAACAAAACAAATAGAGATAAACCGACCAAGAAGGCCGTCGATGTTCAGGAATTACAAAGAACGGGCATGCAGGCCCAAAAAGTAAAATATGCACGGGCACGCAGGCCCCAAAACAACCATCAACAAAGGCGCGCAGGCCCTACTAGAATCTCACAGCTAGACTTCCCCGAGGCTATCACCGCCGACAACAGGAGACTCAGGCGAGGGCACGACCTGGCCGTCGATGATTTGAGACATGTAGCCCACTCCCTCAGTATTCAGATCGGGATTCAACAGAGCGAGCTGGCTAACCGCGGCTTCAAAGCCATCTGCCAAGGCACCAACGCAGTCCGCCTCGAGGAGTTGAATACGAGCAACCAGTTCCGACCGACTCCACAAAGGAGCTGTCTCCTCTGACTCGTCCTCGACAAGGAGCATGGCGGCCTTTAGTTCCTCGACCTCTTTGGCGAGGCGCCCGTTGTCATTTTCCAAGCGTTCCCGGTCCTCATAGAAGTACTCCCTCTCCTCAGCAATCTTCCCCGAGTTCTCTTTCTCCGCGGCCAGCAGCTCGGCTTGCTCGCGGAACATCTCCTCGGAGCGCTCCAGGGCAGCCTTCAACTTTCGTGAGCTCGCAGTAAGGGCAGCTTTCTCCTGTTCCATCTCCTTGATGCGATCAGAATCTGCCCCCTCCTCGGCCAGCACAACGGCCATCTCGGCCATTTTGACCATCCCGACCATGTTGGCGGCCAGATGCTTTCTCCGATTCTCCTTGCTCAGCCGCCTAACGGTATCAGCTTCGTCAGCGCTTGCGGATAGGGGAAATCCCTCGAAGAAACTCTCCTCTTTAAAACAGGGGGGGCAACCTGAAGGACCTCACCGCACCAGAGTCCTCGCCGACCTCCGGTTGGCTCTCCACCCGGTTCCTCTTCCTCGGTATCAGGTCGGTATGCGGCTCAACATCCTGAGCGTCCGGGGATCCTCCAGAAGCATCGCCCGGGCTAGTTGGTGGGCCCATCCTCGTCGCCTGAGGAGCTCGCACCACTCTCTTATTGACTTTCTTATCCTGTGTCAGCTTCAGGAGCCTCTCCTTTCGTCCAGCCATGAGACCTGCATAAAAGAACCCCGGGTTAGTGACGAGCAAATAAACAAGCGAAGAAAATCAAACAAAATGAAAAAAGTAATGACCTAGCAGGTTCTTGGCCTGCCCGAAGGACTGGCACTCCACGAGCGCCTTCGTATCGATAGGCCGGGCCTCAAAGGTCGGATAACCATCTTCGTCGAGAATATCCTTTCCCTCCCTCGTGGCCCACCGGACAGGGAAGAAACTATCGACGTATCTGCAGAGGGTACCATAAACCTCCTCATCTTCGGTACTCATCCCACCCGCGGGCGTATGGTAGTGCCCGGTCCCGTGCTCGTAGTGACACGAGGTCCAATGCAAAGGAAATTTGGCCACACGCCCCAACACCGGGCGTCCCTCGTCGTCTAGAAGAGCCTCCCCGTGATCGTCGGTCACCACCGTTTCTTCCTCGTATACGGACTCTAGACCAGTTTTGGTAACCGGTCGCACGATGTACCATTTGTCCTTGAACCCCCAGACAGAATCCATATACATCCTGAACAGTCTCTTCGACTGTTTCAGGGAAACCCAACTGTGCCTACCTCCCCGAGACTGGCGCTGTAAATGGAAGACTCTGAAGAAGAGAGGTATGGTCGCCCCAATCTTTAAAAAACGACACGTCAGTTCGAACGCCCGGAGGAAAGCGATCGAGTTGGGGTGAAGCTGCGACGGGGCCAGTTTCAGATGACTGAAGACCCCGACCTGAAAATCACTAAAGGGGAGCTTTAGTCCAAGGTCCTTGAAAGCGATCTCATACATGGGAAACCCGTACTCGGGGAACTCCGAGCAGATCCGCGCGGTCAGAGTCGGTCTGGTGACGACGAAGTTTTTCTGAAAGTCGGACTGACTACCGCCCTGCTCGACGATAGTATACGCACTCCGGCTGCGCCGACTGTAAGCAGAAGCAATACCTCTGGGCTCGGCGCCCACCCACTCCAGCAGAGGATCGTCGATGGTATCGACCAGATTCACATTCTCCTCGGCGCTTTGATCTTCTACCTCATTGCGCCCTGAGGAACACGGTTCATCCGCCATTGTTACCTGCAAAGCACAGGAAGCCGGTCAATTGGGGAGCAAATCCACACGCTCGCCATAACTGACGGGAAGAAGGGCACGACCAACCGAGTCACACTCCACACACGATTAAAAAGTTGAAGTTTCGAACAAAAGAGTGGAGTCACCTCCCCGACGCCCAGATACCGCGACAAGTCTTCCTACAAATCGCCCAAATGGGCCAACATCCCGACCAGTCACGAATGTGTCGACCTAGGCTATGAACATGGCGAGCGATATCATAAATCCTAAAACTAGAACTATGAATTTACTGGGCACTATCACGAATTAGGCGCCCTGAATCATGAAGATCCCGGGCAGCACTGCGAGTCAAATACCTAAACTATGCATTTACCGGGCACAAACATGCGTTTGCCGGGCATAAACATGGATTTGTCGAGCCAAAATACGAATCTACCGGGGCTAATCCCAGACGCACAGTCTCTAACATACAAAACAATGGAAAATATCACATGCCACAGAAGAAAAACATGAGGGATAAGACGCTTACTTGAAATCAGGAAAGAGATACGGCGGCGGAGAAGAGAATCAGCGGCGGAGAGCACGACGGTCCTATGAAAAACAGCAGCAGTAGAGACAGAGGAAGGAGGAGAAGCGCGAAGAGGAAAAACATATTTTGGGGCCCAAGGACCCTATTTATAGTGATGACGTGGAATACAAAACGTCACCCCGGGGAACCACGAACCTCCCTCCTCGACGCCTAGCTCCCCTAGGCAATGATGACCTTATCTTCGATAGGGTGGCGGCACGGTTCCTAAGGGATGTCTCGTGTGCTCAACGAACACAGCCCGTCGAGAGTCCCCCGAGCACTCCTCGAAAGGAATTATCTCACGAGCGCGACACAAAGGAAACTCCTCGAATAACCACGGGGAACTAAATCTCTTGTCCGAGCACGGGACCTCGTGACGGAGGCGAGCTAAGATCAAGTCATGGCTCCTACTCCAGGAACCACGACTTGGGGGGCTCCTGTTCTAGACTGGGCCGAGCTGGCCCAAAAGCAAGGATGAAGGCCCAATCCAAACGGCCTTGCAGGGGGTCGCGCCGACCAAGAAGCTACAGCTGTGTCCACGACATCCTCGACTTCAGGCAGTTCAGCTTGACCTCAGCTCGAGCACTCCTCGTAGGACAGACAATGGCCATTACACCATCACCTGGATTCCGAAAAGACCGCGTCTCCGTCCGTCCGTACTTCTCGCAGAACACCCAGGAAGGAGACCACGTGCGGGTCCCCACTACACACGTAGAACCTGGCAGTTCCTTCATTGGGCCAAACCTGCCCGGCCCAATGAATGGACCTTGGCCCAGCGCTGGGGGCTATAAATACCCTCTGTTCCCAGAGGGTCAGGTATTCATTCTTTTACCATACACACACTTTCTTGCCTGCTCGTACTGCCACTTACTTTAGCATCGGAGTGCCTTGCAGGTACCCCCTATCGCGTTCAACTTCAGCTCGGAGCCAGTCGTGACGGTCCAAGTCTGATCCGGTAAGATCAATTGCATACTACAAATCGTAATTTAGGGTGAGAGAGATTATTTATTATTCTTGAGTATTTGTAATTTGACTTAAAGAGAAAATAAAGAATAATAGTTATAATCAATCCTTATTATTCTTCGTGTTTTTCCATCGTTTCTATCCTAATTGTTTCCTGATAATAAACAGTTTATATTTTACTTCAAAGGCATTGTTTTCACAACAATATCAAATGTCAATGCTAAAACATTTCATACTAGTATTAAGTTGAACATAAGTACATTTATCAGATTCTGAACACTCATGTAGAAGTCACTAAAGAAACTACATAATATCAAAATGCAGAAATTTCCAAGGCTGGAAGAGATTCATAATAGGGATACATATTTTTCTTGTCTTCAAACATGATCAAGAGGGATTTGCTTCCACCACAGCCTCAGCCTCAGGCTCAGGCTCAGGCTCAGGTAAACCTTTCACCGTAATGGTAATACTACAAGTGCGCTTTAGAATTTGGTTAGCCCGCCCCTGAGCTCGAGGTCTAACTCTTTTCAAAGTTTTGCCTTCATTAACCTCTGCTCTACTAATAACTAAACTCGATTTGCTTAGACCCAAGTTATTGCTTGCATTTGCTCCAGCAGAAAAGACAATCTTAAGAATGGGTTCACAGGCACGGTAAGGCATGAGTTCCAATATCATAAGTGTATCCTCGTATTTACGTCCACGAATCTGATCGATTACTCTTCGAGCTTTGTCAGCAGACATACGAATGCCTCTCCCTACAGCATAGGCTTCTGCGAATGCTTTGTTGCTCTCCTGAACTGCAGCATCAAATTTAATTTTAAATGTATGTTAATTGTTTTGCCATATCCTTCTAAGGATATATCAAATGCATCATGAAATATCCCAAGTTACACATGAGAAATATTATTCTTACAAAGAAACACACGATGTCACTTATCTGGTGTCAAAATAGCAATCCTCTATATACATTGGGTGTGTCAGGTATGTATAAAGTAATGTGTGATAGAGAAAGACTATAGTCCTATCCTATGAAAGCAACAAAACATTGAAAGGAATGTGGTGTTCAAATTCAAAGATAGCATATTTTGAGGCAAGTAACAATCTGAATGAAGATAAAAATGAAAATATTGTAGATGAATAAGAGAGTATGTTAAAAAGAAATGAGAGAAGAAAGAGTACCTTCGAACTGGGTAGCGTGACATGCGAAAGAGTTGTTGCGGTTGGGGGTAACCGTTTTGAGTGAAATGTCGTTGAAAGAGGAGGAACATCGAATTCGGGCGGAGGAGGGTATCGGGAATTTGACTAGGTTTGGACGGAATTGGAGTTGGAATTGTTGGAGTCGGAGTTGGTTATCGCGAACAGGAGGAACGTTAATGGCTAAAGAAAGAGCCATTGGGATGTGGATGAATGAATGACTGAATGGAAAACCTAAGATAAGACTGGATGGATAATAAATCAAAACATTTCAACTTACCTCTCTTATTTTCCCTTTTTTTTTAAAAAATAAAAATATTAAATAAAATTGCCTGAAAATAAGTAAATATATATATATTTTAAAATAATTTAAAGTTAGAGTGAGTGAGACACGATAAATAAATAAAATTAATTTAAACAAAAGATAAGAGGCACCGGAGAAGCGAAGAAGAATGATTCGGCGGTTATGGTGTGTTCAGAGTCAGAGTGCGTCGTTCTCTTCCACTTCCACCACCAACAACAACAAGAAGAAGCCCGTTGTTCTCTTGGGAGCACCTCACGTCTCCACTATTGTCCTTGACGCACTTCTCACTGCTTCTGCTTCTCCACATTCTTCCTTCGAGGTATTCCTTTTCTTTTTCTTCTTTCACACTCACTCAAAAATCATCACTGCTGATTTTGGTAATCTATGTCTGTTTAGGTTGCGGCTATTGTGACTCAGCCAGCCGCTAGAAGAGACCGAGGGAAAAAGCTTACGCTCTCTCCCTTGGCTAATTATGCTCTTGACAGAGGCTTCTCTCAGAATCTTATTTTCACTCCTCAACGTGCCGGCGACGTAACTATAACTAATCTTAATACTAATTAATCAAAGAGAATTCAATTACTTACTCTCTTCTATTTCTTGCAGGATACCTTCTTGTCCGATTTAAAAGCTTTGCAGCCACAGCTATGCATTACGGCAGCCTATGGAAATATATTACCTACCAAATTTCTAGATATCCCTCTTTTTGGTTAGTCATTTGTTCTTCACTGCTATAAGTATCTCATTTCGCTGAATTGCTTTAACGGGACTTTATAACATATGAATCTAATGCCCAAATTTACTTCATATTATCTCAGGAACAGTTAACATTCACCCTAGTCTTCTGCCAATGTATCGTGGTGCTGCTCCTGTTCAAAGAGCATTGCAGGTCTATCTTTTTCCTTCATCTCAATTCTAAATTCTCAATGCTTTTATTGCTTTCGTTTCACTAGGTTATTTCTGGTTTACGTATTCGTTTGTCTACTAGGATGGTGTTAAAGAAACTGGAGTGTCGTTAGCGTTCACTGTTCGTGCACTTGATGCTGGACCTATCATTGCTACTGAAACAGTTCAAGTTGATCATCATATAAAGGTATCATTTTCTCTTGTTTCTGTTTGCTACAAACATAAAAAGGTCTAGCCATCGTTAGTTGGTCAAGTGGTGATTGGCGCTGGACTTGGTAGGGAGGACCACGGTACAATTCCCCACAACTGCGATCGAGAGGGGGTTGGAACCACTTGATGCCAGTACTGACCCCTGAACCAGATTAGGCAGGTCAAGTGGGCCGGATACTGGTTTTTAAAACCAAAAAAATAAAAATAAAAAGGTCTGGGGGCACATGTTCTTTTGCTGGTTTTGGCACTAGTTGTGTTATTATCACTGTTTTTGTTGATGAATTTTTGCTTTCCATAAAATATAATCTATAATCTTGTAACTGGAGTGTTTCAAATGGTGGTTTTGATGAATACTTACGAGAAATGCTGCATATTATATTGACGATTGTGATCCTTTGATTGTATTAATAATATCTTAGGTACATGATCAGAATATTTAGCAAATTTTATGTACTACTACTACCTTTCCATCATATACATTATCCCCCTTCAGAGGATATCTTTGCTTTACTTTTTTGACTTTTGAGGAAGTTTTTGCTTTTATTCCCTCCATACTAACAAACCTTTAGATACATAATATATATGCAGGCACCTGATTTACTTGAACTCCTGTTTCATAAAGGTATGACTCTTTTTTCCATGGATATTAATTTATTTTTTGTATTCCGACATTCTTTTCTCCTAGGGTTATACTAAGGTTTTTTTATTCAGAGTTCAGACCTTTTGATAGAAAGTCATTGTTAAGAATCAGTTCATATCTTTATTTGACAAAGCAGGGTCTAAACTTCTGATTCGGGAACTTCCGTCTATATTTGATGGGTCAGCAAGAGTGAAGGCACAGCCCCAAGACGATTCTAGACTACATTGGCACCAAAGGTACTGTTAGTTTGATTATGTTACTCAGAAGGGAGAAGAAATGATTTTCCTATTGATATGGTTATTAGTTTGACATATATCAGGTCCTTTATTGCTTTTGCCTATGCTGCTTGCTGGACTTGTTAAAGTTGATATTTCATTTTTACTTTTTACGATCTTTTCTATTTGTGAAACTACATTGATGGATCAAAAATACAACAAGGTTTTCCATCTCTTTACATGACAATAACATAAGTTCCATTGAGATGATTATTCATAAAACACATTTGGCTTACTTTTAGCCTCCATTATTCCTAACAAAACTTCTATGCAAAGTAGACAATTCATTTTAGTGATGAATTAGAGTTTTCAAACCAAGAATACTAACAAATTTTATCGTAATCCATGCTAGGATGTGGGGACACCTTGTGTTCCTACTTCCTATTAAGAAAAAAGCCTCACTGTTCATAAATAAGTGCTCAACTGTTGGTTTCTGAAGACACCTCATATAAGGTACATATTAGGTGCAAGAGTTGTAACTTGTAAGTTGTAAGAGCTCTACGAGTCTTACAAGATGCATAATGAAATATTTGAACTTATTACCCCTTTTATTTGCTTGTAAGAGAATGGGTTAGAGTTCAAAAAACAGGACATATGAAAATAAACCCTAAGAACACAAACTCCAAGTTCTCCTATCTAGTTTTGAGGAGTAATAGGAATAACTGGTCTTGAAATTGTGAAAAGGTTAAATTGGTGAGAATTGTGATATTCCTTATGTTCTTTCAATTTTATATCCGTTATCCACAAAAAGAAAAGCGAAAAACATTCCACTATATACAGCTGATAATTTATGTTCCTTACAAGGAATTGATCTGTTTTTGGTTTTGCTACTGTTTGCAGATAGGTCCAGACGAATCGTGGCTAATCTTTGATCAAGAAGCATCTGTTCTACATAATAAGGTATACTCAATGATTTCATTTGAACCTTTTAATTGTGACACAACAATTTTAGGTTCGTGCATTTTCAGGGTGGCCAGGATCTAGAACGCAGGTTCTAGTAGTTGACAAAAATGGTCAGAAGAAAACTTTGGAGATTAAAGTCATAACTACACGAGTTGTAACCATGAAAGTGTGCAGTTCAATGAAGCAGATGATATTGCATTTGTCAATGATGCATTGGTGTTTCCATGTGGAAGGGGCACCACACTTGAGGTATGTGTAGTTTTGAGAATCATCATGAATTTCCACTTATCAATGCATAGCTAAGTCATAGTTGCACCACCTAGACAAGTGCTTTCTAGTAGAGGTTACAGGATTTAGTTGTAATCTGTATACCAAGCCAATTTCTACAATCAACTATGTTAGGTTTCCTAATATATGTTGGAACCCTAAAGACAACTACTCCCAAAATTGATCGTCTAAACTGCCATTTTCTTTTTAAGTTTTGTTCTGTCTCAGTGAGCTGCACTTGCTTTGGTTGCTTATTCCTATACAGATTAGACTCTTCAGTGTCAGTAAATCTACAAACAATTTGAGTAATGGCTCTTTTATATTATTTTGCATGCGGCCAGAACTGAATGGAAATACTTGTTCTATCCGTTCTTTTTGTTTTCACCATTTTAGATGGAACCAAAACATATCACTTTGCCTACCTTTTATCCTGTTTTATTCACTTTTGATATTCACGAAATATAAAACACAACTCTTGTTTTTTTCTTATTATCTAACATGTCCACCCAATGCTACCTTCAAGTGCTCGGATCTTGTCAGCCTGTGATTTTCTTATCTTTACACCAAACAATTTTTAGGAAAAAGATTATATATCAGTTTTTTTTATAGATTTGATTCAAAACTATTTAAACAAGAAATGAAGAGAGTAAAAAAACATTTCCTTCCAAGTTAGAGGTGGAAATGAGACAAAAATGGTTTATTTCTTGTTAGTTACAAAATTAAACTTGTTCCAAAGGCACTCTTTAGATTGTAAACTAGAAGTTGTCATTTGCTTTTAAACATCATTTTTCAGTAGTAAACAGTAATTCAAGGCCAAAAGTGTAGTACTTGTTTGAGCAGTAGCATATTGAATTCAATACAACAAATGTATTCTCACAATGAAGTTGATGCTTAAGTTAACCAATGTCTCTAACTGAAAATCACTGCTTGTTTAGTTTATGCATGAGCTTTGTAAATACGGGTATATTCCCTTCTTGTTCTTTTCTCCAATTGCTCTATGGAATTCTGTGTCACTTCTTGAAATTGAAACTAATATTAAATACACATGGTATTGGATGAAGCGGCAATGTCTCCCAGGATCCAAATTATGTACCTGCATACTTGTAAGCAGGGGTAGGGTCGTGAACTTAAAATAATGCACCTATGTTTTTATGTAAATTGCATTTGAGCTTTTTTGCACTCTAGCTCAACTGTCTCGAATTTATTTATTTGTGCACCCTTGAACCAGGTTTCTGGTTCCGCCATTGCTTATAAGGGCTTTTGTAACTTGAAATGCAGGGTCCAACTTTTGTATGCACACAATTATAAGTGCATTTTGACACTTGAATGCAAATCTCTCTAAATCTGTAATTACATATGAAAATCTTCCGTATTATATTCAGCAGGTTAATGAAAATGACATGCTTTCAAGTACTGATTGATATGCGTTTATGAGGAATAATCATTGAGGAAGCAATGCGTTTAATATGAAAAGAGCACTTTCTGAATTTTGTGATTGTTGTAACTCAGGTATTGGAGCTTCAGCTTCCTGGAAAAAAGGTGGTTAATGCAGCTGCTTTCTGGAATGGATTGCGGGGACAGAAGCTTAAGAAAACATGAGCAGCAGTGGTTTATCAAACAGAAAGCCGTTTTTTAAATTATCATCTTTCATCCGGCTGTTTGAGCAATTGATTCTTTCCTTTTTATTTTTATTTTTATTTATTTTTATTTGATTCAAGATTTTCAATTTCTTCAATCGTTTTACATTATTTATGTAGTTCATTTATCGATTCACCAAATTCATCATCATTAGGTACAAACTATCGTCTTTTAAATTACATGTCTTATTCATCTCTGTCTCCATCATACAATCATCTTGTCATGTCCATTAATACACTTAATGAACCAAAGGCATATGCTGATGCAAGGAAATTTGAATGTTGGAATCAACCGTGCAAGCTGAATTATCAGCTCTGAAAGAATAGTTACTTGGGAAGATTGTTGATTGACCACCCAATTAAACCAATTGGTTACAAATAGATATAAATTTTATGTTGATGGCTCAGTTGAAAGATTCAGAGTTCAATTAGTGGCAAATGGTTACAATCAAATTGAGGGTCTAAGATTACTTTGATATATATTCTCCTATGGAAAAA